AAAGAGTTATCATGGAGGGCGAAAATTATCGAAACTTTGTGAAACTTATCTTCACGTATTTGTCTGATTAAGTGCAAAGGCCTATTATGTCTTTAATTTTTTCGTAGATTTACGAGTAGATATTCATCTAAAGACAGTTGGATATAGACTCTGAATACGAATGGTTGAGTTAATTGTTTTTAGGTAGAGAAATAGATTCAGAGAGCTTCAATTGTGAGTTATAAAATACTTAGATACAAGGATACAAGGATATAAATATACTAGGACACAAGGATGAAAGGATACAGGGAAAGATTCTAGGATGAAATGATACAAATATATAAGGATACAAGAATACAGGGATACAATTTCCTCGAATCCATATATCCTAGTATATTTATAACTTAGTATCCTTTTATCCTACTATCCTGATAATATCCTAGTATCCTTACATTCTACTATCCTTATATCCTACTATCCTTATATCCTACCATCCTTATATCCTAGTATCCTTATATTTTACTATCCTTATATCCTACTATCCTGATATCTTTTCAACATAAGAGATAGGGTGTGTACTAAATAAAGTTTTTTTTATTTTTTTGCAAAATAAACTGCATTTAACATTTTCAAAAATGTAAACTATTTATTTGGGGTCTCCGATGAAAACTTAGGGTCTCCGTTGACAATGTCGGGGTCTCCAGAAAATCTACAGAAAATGTTTGTGAACAATAAGAGATTATGCAGAAACTAATAACTGAATAAGATTACTTATTTTCGATGATAAGAGTTAATTTCTATTTTCTCAACCTGTTCCTAAACAACTAATTATTTTACTGTAGAATTTTTACTACGTTTTTATGTCGTCGTTTGAAATTCTATTTTGCGCTTAAATTCAGTAATTATACATCATTAAAATGTTTTATATGTCTCAAATGAATCCTAAAAACAATTCTCCACAATACTACATTCTCAGTTCAACTACCATACATTGCCGGTTACTCCCTTTAAAAACGTCTTAAACAGCCTCTCTGACAAATGCTCTTTATTCTTGCAAAAAAAAAACTGAGGAATATGGAGTAATTAGATAAAATATTGTTGAGGCATGAATCCAAAGATGAAGTCTGGTCTGATGGTTTTCTATAAATAAACATTGGTTTAGTATTTGGTTGGTTCTCCATGTATTTTCTTTATATTGAAAGTTCGGTCACGTTGAACACAGCCAGATATTGAGTGGTTTTGGTTAAAAACCTCACTTTTCATTTCTTTTCTTTTACTCGAGATTTTTTTTCTGGAGTTCTTTATTCATCTGTTTCGTTGTAATACGATAAACGGCAAAACGGCCAAACCGATCCGGCCCACATTTTTGTGGTATCTCACATGACAGCGGAAATGATTATTTCCGCTCAAAATCAATAAAATTCTAGTTTATTTAAAGTTCCATCAATTGAAAGAAGAAAATCTACGAAATCAAAATTCTTAGTATTTTCGAAGAAAAAATGGTTGCGATTAAAATGACATTTAAAAGCTATACACAATAGTTAAAAATACGGTTTTGGTTTAAAATAATGTTCTAGATAATATTTAAACTCACATGTGATCATGGAAATTCCAAATTGTGGTCTAGCACATTTAGCATCTTCTGTTAAAAATTTTTTCTTTTTCTTTTGCGTTGAATTTATATATTAAATACATTTTTTCACTTTCATATTTTAATAATTTAAGGCCTATAGGTACCAATTTAACATCAAAGTAGGGGGTGGGGGAAAAAGGAGTCTAACTAAGTAGGGAATGAGTCTAACTAAGTAGGGAATGAGTCTAACTAAGTAGGGAATGAGTCTAACTAAGTAGGAAATGAGTCTAACTAAGTAGGGAATGAGTCTAACTAAGTAGGGAATGAGTCTAACTAAGTAGGGAATGAGTAGGCCGGATTTACACATAAAAGCACAGCGTTGAAGCCAAGAAATGGTTTAAAATAAACCTAACAATATTTTATTTTCTTAGAAAGAAGGGATTTAAGAAAATATTCAAGAGGAACTTTTATTTTCATTCTAATTATGCAAACACCTTGAGTGCCAACATACACAACTTAAACAAGCTTCCCTTCGATCCTTTCACGATCATTATCATCTTCCCTACCTTCCCCCCTCTCCCCCCAGGTTGGTTGGGCACTATTCAGCTAAAGGAAGGATGTAACAAAGTCAGCAAGATTTTTTTGTCTATTCAGGGCATTCAACATTCAGTATTCGGGCATTCAGCTATGTATATAGATAGATATATATATAATATACATTATATTTACCTATACAATGTATCTTATGTATATGTATTTATAAACAAATACATTTATAGAACTATATGGGCTTTTCATCCAGAATCTTGTTTACTAATAAATAAAAATATTAAACGAAATATTTGCTTTGCAGAAAACGAAATTAATATTTTGTGAATTTAGTAAATAAAAGGAAATTTAACGAATAAGGTAAATTTACAGTAAAAGGAATTTATTTAAATCTTTTTGTTAATTTGGTTGTTCTCTATACATAAGGCTGATCAGTTTAATTCCAAAGAAACAAAGATTATTTATTCAGAGAATACTTGACCAAATCCAAATAAAAATAAAATAAAGCCTCATGAGAGAAAAAAGTGTAAATTGTGTTTGGTTTTTTTAAAACACTCTTTAGATTGTATTTTTCCCAACGGTTATTGTTAATCAATCATTATCAATATTGATCAATCCAATTTCTATTGATTTGCATAATTTTTTATTCTTCCATTTATGTTGATCAATCCAATATTGATCACTTTTTTTGAAAATTCCTAAATTGCATATATATATATTTTTAAAGGAAGTAAACACATTAAAACAACAATCTAAAATTTTCTAATCAAAGGTTTAAGGTTCATCAGGTTGCAAAGATATGGGAATTGGAAAATTCGAATTTGTGGCGAGTATTCAGTGTCTTTGATTCAAAATTTATGAAAAATATATAAAATGTTCCCAAACCGTTTAACCGATGATATAACTATAAAGTTTAAAATCATTGTATCCGATAATTAAATACCTGAATACCACGACCTTTACATTCACCGAGCACAAGATTTAAAATAGATAACCAGTAGCGCTAACTCATTACAAGGATAAACTGAAATAATCCAGACTAGTGATGGGCATCATCGTTTAGATTTTCAGACATTCAAAAGTTTTTTTATGGTTTCCAAGAAGCTTTACAAAATAAATGCAAAAGGAATTGAGTCTTTGCCACTAACGCTGATTTTCTAATCCCTTTATCTTTGCATGCAATCTAATGCCGAAGGCCTAATATATTTAAGAAACTATAAATTCTGTTAGATCAAATAATTTAAGTATGAAATACCAAAGGTTTACACCATTAGGTTGCAAAGATATAGGAATTAGAAAATTTGAGTTTGTGGCAAAGACTTAACTCCTTTAGTATACTCAGTTAAAAAATATTTATTCGTTGTAGCTGGCCAGACCAAATGGGCTTAAGTTTGTTTTGAGAAAAAACCATGGCTACCCGGGGGGGGGGGGGGGGGACATACGATAAAAAGTGTTTTTAAACCCTGGACAACGCCGGGTACTCCAGCTAGGATTAATTAATTGAGGAATCAGAGAAAGTTTATCGTAAACCTGAACGTTCCGTCGGTGACTCGATATACTGAAATCCCTAATTTGTCAGATTTAAGCATTTTAATATAATCTGTTTGTTTAATTGGATGCCTGATCATAACTCATGGAACCCGGGACAAATTTTCTTCAAATTTGTATAAGGGAACACAATGGAACCATGCGGGAATGTTTTTAGTTTTGTTTAAAAATTCTAAGTTAAGTTGATTGCCGGGCCGTTTAGAAGAAATCTCTAGAAAAAGTTAGGTTTCAAGCAAGTCCATTAAATTTTTTATTGGATGTATGCTTAGCAGTTAGAAGTATGGAGTTGTTTTTTATATTTGATTCAATTCAAGCTCCTCATTTGTAGTTTGGTGTGGGCCTCTTTAAAAATAGAAATTTTTTAATTCAGTAGCAATCAAATATGATGATTCTATATCTGACATTTAAACAGAATTGCATTAAAAAATGTTCAGAAAAAAACGACTTCCATTACGATATTTTATATCTTATTATCAATTTTTAGTATTGATCATCTTTAAAAGTAACTTGTCTATCGTCAATTGTACGTTTGAAATCTTACATGTTTTCTCATTATATCTCCTCTTATAGAAGAGAAGAACAAAAATGTTTTAAATTTCTAATTTGTAACTCAATAGATACTTTACTCAATAGATAAAGTTAATTTTTATTTTCTCCATCTCTGTCTAAACAACTTGTTAGTTTACTGTAGAATTTTTGTTACATTTTTTGTCGTCGTTATGGTATTCTTTTAAGAAAACCGATTCTCAAATTCATCTCTCCAGAATGGACAATTAAGGAGGATTTTAAAAATTGAATTTGCATTCTATTTAAACAAGTATGCATCGTAAAAACGAATTCTAAAAAACTACTCTACAATACTACATTCTCAGTTCAACTACCATACATTGCCGGTCACTCCCTTTTAAGCTTGGAAATTTATTCGAATATGATATGGGACGCTCTGTATCTAAAAATTAATGATTTTATTGTAAACGCAAATTAAATACGCAAGATAGAAATTGATAGAATTGTTATTCAGATAAAGGAATTTAATGGCTATCTTTGTGAATCTGGAATTATTTGTTTATATATGGACATGGTGGATTATTTGAAGATATGTCAACAGTTTAGAAGTACATTTATTGCTTCTAGAAACAAATACATAATGAATAACAATTGTACTAAAGGAGAGGAAGATGAGTAGGTCCAGAATCCAACGCAACTATTTTACGGATTTTATATAATCCTCTTTCGGGGATTTCATCCTCTACAGTGCCTTTAAACGAATATAGATATATCGTGGTATTCAATATATTTCTCTTTCTCCTACCTTGAACCAATAACAATTTGATTTATTCTATTCTTAGTTTAGATCAGAGATGGAATTATTAACTTTAATCCTTTGCATCTTGGTTTGTGTATACTTAGATTATTCTGCTAAATACAGGTTTATTATTATTATTATTTTTATTATTATTATTATTATTATTATTTTTATTATTGTTACTTCTTCTTGTCTAGATGGTTACGATTGCCTGGTCCCTGGTTCTATGTTCCCTACCTGGGACACCTGGAACTCCTCTTAAACCTGGGAAACCCGGTGAAAAACATCCTTAGCCTCTACAATAAGTACAATCAGGTGCCCCTCCCCACCTCCATCCTTCCATGTCAAATTAAAGTGTTTTTCATAGTAAATTAAAATCATGTTTTTAATCATTACATGCAGCAGTCAATTTTAAGATTTCTAATAGGCTGCCATGATATATACCTTATATGCTTTATATTGATAACAACATGGCTAAACAAGAAGGAAAAGAACACAAGATACGATAAGTCTGCCCTCTCCTCCCCCCCTCCCCCAATTCCAGCTCATCGGAACGAGTATTCCGTTGATAAATTATAAAATATTTTTCAATATTTGTTTAAGAATTTAGATTAATCCCTCCGTTTAAAAGTTGTGAGCTCTGTCCATAGAAAATTTAATTTTCAGAAACTTTACATATTTCTCATTTAGAATTCCAGGCTTTCCGATCTATATCTATATCTATACAATTAAACGAAAGAAAGAAAGTAAAAATCAAGACTTAAAAATACAAAAAAAACACTATTGAAAAAGAATTAAACCAATTAGTTGGAGCCAATAAATAATGATGTTAATAGAAAAACCCTGTAAAATTGCGTCTACAATTATCTATTTGATAAAATTGCAAAAAATTCAAATTCAAAAGTAAATGTTAAAAAAAATAATGTCAACAGAAAAAAAGGGAAAAAATCTTAATAAGTCTTTTTAGAAATCTTAATTTTTTGAAAAATGGATGGAAAAGTTTTTAAAATGAAGAAATTTTAAGTTCAGAGAGAGTTCAAAAAATTTCTAAAAAAATTTATTTTATTGTTATAAAGGAACTGAGTTTTTGTCACAACCTCAAATTTTCTAATCTCTATATCTTTGCAATCCAATGTCGTATACCTTAGATATTTAAAACTTAGACTATTTGATCTAACAGAGTTGTATAGTTTGAAATATCTAAGGTCTACGACATTGGATTGCAAAGATATAGGTATTAGAAAATTTGAGGTTGTGACAAAGAATCAATTCCTTTTGATCCTACTTCATAGAGATGATGAATTTTTGATTTTACAAAATCCTTTTCAAAATTATATTTTCGGCAAAAGTTTTTCAATTAAATTTAAAAGAATAGAAAATTTAATTTTAAGTAATCCTTCATGCACAGATGGTAATACCAGCCCGATTCACAACAGTACCCTTGACAGCTTTGCCTGATCAAGTATGAATTATAGTTTTTTTTTAATAATTTCATATTATCAAAAAATATGAAAAACGCAAATCTTAGAAACAGAAATGATTTTTATATTCCTAGAATAAATCTATTCCTCCTCACATTTTCCCTAAAATATGGTATGAAAATAAACAACACTTTTCTAAGCTTTCAAATATCAATCTTATTTTGAATTTTAATTGAAGATTTTTATGAGCAAAACAAACGCTAACACATGCTATGTTTGCAAAAGAATCAAAGAAAGCAAAGACGATTTTACAAAGAAAAGACTAAAAAGATTAAAAAGAGTAAAAGACATAATCAAACAGATGCCCCTTTTGCGTAAAACCTATACATTTTTCACAACCCATAAAGCTTATTTTATTTTTTTAAACATTACAAATAAATCTATCATTTTATTTCTAATACTTGTTAGTTCATCGTCAAAATATACTAACAATCCACCACTAGGTGTCAACACCTCCTCTCTCTGAGAGAAAGCATGCAAAATGCTTGCAGAATATATTCATGGGACTAGGGCCGCAACCCTTATATATCCTGTTTACTGTCAACAAGAATGGGTTCACACCCTTTGCTATTTGAAGATGTCAAAGTCTACTACAGACAACGAGTATGGGTTCACACCCTATGCTAATGGTAGATGTCAAAGTCTACTACAGTCAACAAGAATGGGTTCACACCCTTTGCTAATGGTAGATGTCAAAGTCTACTTCAGTTAACGAGAATACATTGTTACTTTTGCTGAATCAATATGTATTTATAAGTTCAATGAATGCATTCCTTAAAATGTTTTGATTATTTGAGTGCTGACTAATTATCTACTTCAATGAATGTATATTTAGTTGAGATTTCAATATGCATACTTTGTTTCAACAAAAACGATCAAACAAAATTATCAAACATTATTTTCAATTGGCTCATAATAAATTTTCTTTTGTGTTTTATTTTAAGCTGAACCATCATACATTATTATTTTGTATTTTGTGTTTGAAAATAAATACTAAAAAAAAAAATATTAAGTATGATGTACGCGGGCAGCCGTAGTACATTTGAATTTCCGAGCCGGGTCAATCTTTCCGGCCCCAGTTTGTACTGTATCGCCAGGACATTGGGTGAATAACACAGACACTCGATAGGGCTAGCCGATGCAAAAATGTTGACGCGGTCAGACTTTATGCTAAATTTACTTTTACTAAGGGGTTAGGGGTGCGTGTGTAAACAATAAATATGTAACTTTCCTAGTTTCCTTTCCTTTTCCTTTTATTTCTATTTTCTATAATATTTTAGAATTGGGGGGAAATATTCCCAAAACCTCTATTTTAGGAAGTTTTCAAATATTTTCTCCTTAAACACTTAATTTTGTATGTTTTTTGTTATTTTGCATAAATAAATAACTACTTACTTACTTACTAAATTTAATTACTGATTATTTTCAATTGCAATTTCTCTACATTTACAATTTCTCTTGCACATTTCCACTACAGGAAAATATCTGAACTGTTCAAAAAAGAAATATTATCAAAAATGTCTTTATCTCTGAATGGTTCATCAAGTTGTTGTTGAAAAAAATAAGAATTTTATTTCGAAAATTCTTTTTCTGTTAAAAAAAATATAAATGAATTATCAGAATTCAACAAAAACGACAAAATATGGCATGTGCTAATTTTTTATGGACGGTGACTTAAATTTACGCTCACAGTCCGTTTACATAATATTTGAAAATCACCATTATTTATTCAAAATTCTCATATTTTAAAATCTATTTAAAATATTTTGTTTATTGTTCCCAGGGAGGTGTCTGCTACACCAGTCTCATCAATCAGAATAACCTACTAGTAGGGGACTATAATACACTCAAGTAATTTTATTTAGTAAAGTACAGTGTGTCTCTTCTAAACATAACAGTTCAAAGTAGGATTTAAATTCCTAGGCAAAATTATCTTAAAACATAATTAAAATTATCTTTGTTTTAGATGAAATATTCATAAACTTCATCATGTCTCATTTAGAAGTCGTGTACAATAAAGAAGACTTTCGATTTCTAATTTTATTCTGACCAAGCTACGATCTACTGAATATTAAATATGAATAAACATGGAAATAAAGAAAAGCTGCTAGTTAACAGCTTTGTTTGCTTGTAAACTTGTAATTTAAAAAAGCAACCGTCGAAACATAAAAAAGTCGTCTTCATTGTATTGATATGAACGCCGACCAATGTATTATATTTGGCTGTACTGAAATTGACACCGTAAAATTATTTGCTTTATTTCCTCCGAAATCAGATTTTTCCTTGACAAATGCTGTTTATAAAATGCCAACTGCATTAAAATGATAAAATTACACACAACTGAATATTTAAAATTACATAAAACATCAAAGGACATTCTTTTATGTTTTAGAATTCTGAAATGTTTAGTTTGTCAAAAATTGATTTTATATTCTTTTTTTCCGGAGAAATGGTAAAATATTCAAAAATAAAAAGTATTAATAAATAATGTTTAGGTTTCTATTCAATCACCCGCATGTTCAGAACAGGGTGACCTCACATACAGGTAAAATACAGGGTTACCTCACATACAGGTAAAATACAGGGTGACCTCACATACAGGTAAAATACAGGATGACCTCACATACAGGTAAAATACAGGGTGACCTACTAAACTGGTAAAATACAGGGTGACCTCACATACCAGTAAAAACAGGAATTGAGCCTTAAATAAGTTTGAAATATCTAAGGTTTTTACCATCAGGTTGCAAAGAAATAGGGATCAGAAAATTTTGATTTGTAACAATAGTTTATTTTAAAATAGGTAAAGAAATCCTTTGCACCTGTGAATGAAAAACCTTTCTAAAGAAAGTCTGCAGATGAAATCACATAAACAGTTCTTTTAATAGAAGTACAAGAGCTTAAATTACCCTCTGGTGTGTAAACTGTTGTAGATAAATTATTGTAAATGATCTCTAACTGGCAGTAGAACTAAAATATTCACATCAAGATTTTTCCAATTACACCCTGCACCAATCCATATCCAGTCCGTTAATTTGAATAAATTAGATTGCGTCTATATAATTAAACAATCAAAAATCTTTTAACCAGAGTTGTCTCTTTCTATATTTTGATTTAAGCCGCATTCACCGACAAAATATATAAATAGCGGAGGAACAACGACAAATTTGTTTTCATTAAAATTAGGGTCGAAAGTAACTTCATGCTGAGACTAGGACCAGAAGCTTATTCATTGTGATTACTTTCTAAAGGATTGAGAGGGTCAAACCAAATAATAAGTTATATAAGATAAGTTTTTAATATCAAGTCTTTTTTCCATGGTTAAAAAAAATCCTTTGTTCCCATGCATTTACAACCCTCGGAAAACCTTTTTTTCCGCGGTCGTTTTTGTGATCAAACTGGAACCAGAAAAAAAGTCCTGGAAACAAAAGTCAAAATTTTCCAGAGACTTTTTATTTCAAGGTCTTGTTTTCTACGGGATTCTTATAGTGCCAAAATTTAGGACTTTTTATTGGATATTTGAAACAGAAAATTGGAAAAAAAAGTTCAAGGTTTTTAATAGATGTAAATTGAGAAAGGAATTGAATTTTTGTCACAAAATCTTATTTTCTAATCTTAATATCTCTGCAACCCAATGTTGCGGACCTTAGATATTTCAAAATATAAATTCTGTTAGATTAAATAATCTAAGTTTGAAATATCAAAGGTTTACAAGATCAGGTTGTGAAGATATAGGAATTAGAAAATTTGAGTTTGTGGCAATGACTCAATTCCTTTCAGTTCAGCTTTCTTCTGAAACCATCTTTACATAACACTTGATCGTTAGCTAGACATCACGCGATCATACAAATTTGAACACCAATAAAAAATGTTTAAAATTGAAAAAGCTAAGGCCGAAGAACAGTCCAAAAAATAGTTTTAAAACTTTTTTAAATGTTTTGGTGAGTTTTCGTGCTCTAGCTCATTCAATTTGTTAATTTGTTCAAAATGTGTTACAAATTCGAATTCAGCTTAAGATTTCCAAGAAAATTAACACATCATTTTTTAATATTTTTTTGTAGGGCCTTTATAGTAATTTACGTGATGGACAGTTGGTTACTTTTTTAAAAAAAAGGTCATAAACCGATTATTCCTATTAACCAGGGGCGTACGAGGGCTTTTGTGTAGGGGGGGGCACAATTTGCGCGCGTAAGCGCGAAAAAAAATTTTTGTCCCCCCCCCTTGGCAACATTGTGCCCCCCCCCCTTAAAAAACCCTTTTTTGAAAAAATATTAATACCTTTTATAATTTTTTGCCCCCCCCCTCCCACCTGGTCTTGTTTTGTTCACCATAAAAATACACCAAAAAGACTACATTTTTGGGTGTTACTAACCTTAGAGTCTAAAAATTATTCCTTTGCTTGAAAAACTAACTTTTTGACTTTATAAATTTATCACTTAACTCCATCACAGCTAACTAAATCAATAATCACAGCATCATTAAAAGTAATATTTTTACTAATAAACGAAATTTCTTCTGAAATTTTTAAATAGAATTTACTCAATCTACATATTCACCAACTCTTTTAAGCTACAATTTTCTGGGATTTGCTTGCACAAACATTTCAATGATTTTTTTCAGTAGAGAGCTCAGACAGCCTTATAGGGTGTAAAGCTATAAGAGCAAGATCGTTAAGTTTGCTCTCCGTCATAGTACATCTTGAGTAATGAAGTATTCTCTTTAAAAGGCTAAAACTTTTCTCTCCTTGTATTAACAGTGAATTTATCAAATCCTTAGTCTTTGTCATTGTTATGTGTTACTTTCTAAACGTAGTTTCCTTTTAATTTTGTATTTTTGGAACTCCCAGGGGGGGCAAGAGGACTACTGCCCCCACTAGGTACACCACTGTGCCTGACCTGAGAAAGGGAAATGCAAGAAGATGTAATATTAAAAGAGCCCGTACGCCCCTGCTATTAACCCTGTCGAATGAACGTGTTGAAATCTGTCAAATGTTTCAATGATCATAACTCCGCATATTGAAAAAAACACGAAAGTTTATTGAATTTCTAATATGTAACTGTAGTTAGCTCTTTTCATAGATTAAAATTATTATATAAAAACTAGAGTAAAAAATCGTACCGGTAAATTTGCACACATTTTTCCTTTTTTCTGTTTAGTAGTGTGAAACAAAAATAGATATAAAGAAGTATAATTGACTATATTGATTAAGATTTATCTATCTTTATATATATTTATATATCTTGCTGCCAAAGTTACTAAAGTTACACCCGCCGTTTACCCGCACTTGAACGATTTTACCGGGAAACAAATATTTCGCTATTAAAGTCAACCCACTCAACTTAAAATCTCAAATTCAAACTATAAAAACATTCCCGAGTTCCCCAATAAAATCAGTCCAGGGGTTCCTGAGTTATGATCGGCCAAAAGAACAGACAAACAGACAAACACAAATTACAACTATATCTATATATATATAACTAATAAAGCAATAATCAGAACAGCTTCTCAGTTTTCATATTTATTAATACAAATTGTTTCAGATCTCTCGATCCTCATCAGTCAATAAACATGGGTTAACTGATGTTTTACAACAAATATTATGGATTTTTCCTGTATATACAGAGTGTTCTAGAAACAGCCATATTTAATTTTACATTATTTTTGTATCGGGGCATAATTTTTAGGAAAACCCATTTACTAGCTAACTAACTAACTAACTAACTAACTAACTAACTAACTGACTAACTAACTAACTAACTAACTGACTAACTAACTAACTAACTAACTAACTAACTAACTAACTCAACTTTTAACATTTTTAAACCAGTGCAGGCTCCGAACATTTCCAAACAAACAAACAGAAATTACCGCTTTAAATATTTATATTAACCATATACATTAACCATGATTATTAACTGAAGAGGAGTAATCCAAAACAATTTGTATTAATAAATATAAAAACTGAGAGGCTGCTCTGATTATTGCTTTATAGTTATACACATACATATATATGAAGATATGACAAAAATATAAATCGATGGGGAGGAACACGAGAAAAACAACTCATTGGTTTTTAATATTTGCATTTACTGAAAATTATAAATCTGAATTTAAACTTTATACGTACGTCATGCTTTTCAAATATTCAAATTGCACCTCTGATTTTTCATTGAACGCACAATTTATTTGATAAAAATAAATACAATAGTGGTTTCTCGTACGCACTGTAAGTATTTATTTACATAAACAACATCTAATCTGATAAATTGCTTATTATAGAACACCTAATCAAGAAATACAATTTACACAGATTAATCAACGGAAGATATGAATATGTAAAAATTCTAAAAAATTTAACATTTCTTATAATTTTAACCAGGCGGGTTGGCATCAAACTCAAACCCTATATCTTTACAACCTGATGACATGTAAATCTTGGATATTTCAAAGCAAGAGATATAAGAATTAGAAAATAAGAGTATTCGAATAATAAACAGTAGACAGTATGATATATATATCTATTTATACTTTATATAAAATTTTAAGTGTTGTAAATTGCGTACAATCCCTTTAACCAGATATCGTCGTATATATTAATGCAATGCAGAAGACTTTCTATTCTAATCTAGATTTTTACACCAAGCACTTTGTTTAGTTATAAACTTTTAATTTGGAAAATGCTTGTTAGGGGTCAAAACATTATTAATAAAAAGTCGTCTTCATTGAATTGATATAATGATCGCCCACTGTAGTGATATATCTTGTTAAGGTAACCTGTATAAATACCTATCTGAGAATAGATATTGTATTATATAGATATATATTGTTAAGGTAACCTGTATAAATACCTATCTGAGAATAGAGGAAACTCTGGTCCTATTCTTGGCGTAATGCATTCACAGGTTATTTTTAATCACCGTTCAGGGCTGTCAGATTTTTACTTCAAGAAAAAAAACATTTAAATTTTTAAAAAGAGCTATTCCAGCCATTCCTAATAAAGTAGATATTTAACTCTTTTCTGGTCATTTTGTATCCCTTAAATGTCATTTTTTCAATGTTAACATTTTTAAAATTTTTTTTTTAAGTTTATAATAACATAAAGAGAATTGAGACTGAAGAGAATTAATGAAGAATTTCCTACTGAAAAAGGCTTCAGCTATATTACAGACAGAACCTGCTGCAAAACTTTTTTAGGGATGAGCTCAGTGCCATGACATGAGTTCGAGGGCTGATTGAATTATGTAAAGAAAAGTCCTCAGATCTAATGATTAAACTTTTTTAAGAGCAATTTTGATGTAACTCTAAATGCTGGCTAATTGTAAACCCTTGAACAAAATAAATTATGATGATAGCATAATAAATGATTTAAGTGATTTGTGTATTAAACAAGGAAAAATATAAGGTTTTTCTTCAAATCCAGAAAAAACAACAATTTTAAGCCATACAAGCCATTTTAAAGAAATGGGACTGGAAAAATAGCCATCTGGCAGCCCTGTGACACCGTTAGTTAGTCCGATAGAGAATTAACCAAATTTTGTAATACACAGTGAACTCAGTTTCGGCGGGTGGACGAATGGCTGTTTGGAAACAAACCCAACTGGACTTGAACCGAAACATGAAAATGAACCCATTATTTAAGTTATAGTTACAGCACGGTTGCACGTATAATGATTAAAAGAATCGAGGTAATATAGAGGACGTGGGTCAGACTCTAATGAAAACGCATAAAGTACTTCCAGTATCTATATTTCTTATAACTTATTACTAGAGGGTTCAGAACTAGAGTCAATATCGATATCACACGTGTAGATGTTTCATCAGTACTATGCCCCGTATCCGTTCTATCTCATTCTGTTGAGTCTTGTGGAACTTGTTTAACGCGGCCAGGCATTGTCTTCCACAGTAAATTGTTTTTAAATATTTCTTATGATCTCATTGAATGTAAACAGACCGCTAAACCAGTTTTTACTTTATATCCACCAAACCTAGTTCATTGTGTATTACAGAATTCATATTTGTACAGTTTATGCGAATGAATTATATGTTATTATTAGATTTAAAAAGAAAGTCTAGTTTTTTAATCCTTATATCTTTACACCCTTATCACGGTAAACGAGAGGTCCTAGTAAAAAGTCCAGTAAGTCTAAGCTTAAAGGGAGTGTTCGCAAAAAATTAAAGGGGGTATAGGCTTATGGCGAAAAATCTTACTTCTGTTGCGTCTATAAGGAGAAAATTGTTAAAAACGACTCATACCGAAGAACATAGCGTCCACACGAATTCAGAAGTTGCAACATTCGACTCGGATCATAAAAAAATCAATTTGATTCCAGACAAATCATTCAGATATGACAACCTGTATTATCGATAATTTTTTGACGCGTTTGTTTATAGTTAATATTTCATAATATTGTTTACTTGTTTCATATATTATGTACTTTTTATAAAATTTGTCGCTATGTGTCGTTGGAGTTCATTCCACGTGGAACTCCAGAAGCATCGAGAGCAGAGACACCTAGCAGCCAAATGAGCGATCTTTAATGTATATTGTATATCAAACGAATAAAAACTTTTGCAACTTTCTGAATTCTATTTCAAACATTTAGGCATATGAATTATTTTATGGGATTTTGACTGATTTTGAATGAGACATAAAAAATAACTAAAAACATTCCGAAATAATACAGATGCAGGAAGCCCTACGTTTTATTCAGTTTTACTTGTACCTTACGTTACCTCAAAGTTCAAAATATTAAATGTTTACACCTTCAGTTTACAAAAATAAAAATTACAAACAAGAGTTTCAGACGAGTAATCAATTACTTTGGCTTTTTAGCTAAGCTGATAAAACATCCGTTATGATTAAACATAATGTTACTATTTAAAAGTGGTCAAAAGTCTGAAACTGACGTGAATAAGTCTGCAGAGTATAGGGATAAAATGTATTTACAGCTTAAAAAAAGAATAGATTATGTTTGATACTAATAGTTTTAATAAATCCGGAGCTCTCTGGCAGACTCTCCGCCTTTCTTCCGCCTCATATGACGGATTAACCTTCCTTGTTTCGGTTCTTTGTAAAGACTAACTCTATTTCGGGTTTAGCCTGGCAAACCTTATTTCACGCTCCCTCGTGTATCAAAGCCTGTTGGTCTGAATTGGCCCGAGTTTTAAATAGAATATACAATACACTATACACCATGGCGACTTATCATCCACCCCACTTTCTGTCCGACCTATAGCTATATACAAAAGAGCTAATAAGCTGTCATGCTTATAGGCCGGACTACTTGCAATCTGAACTTAGCTCCTGGTCCGTATGAGGACTGAAGGGGTTACATCAATGTAACTATCCAATCTGAACTTAGCTCCGGGTTCGTATGAGAGCTGAAGGGGTTACATCAATTGAACTATCCCTATTCCCAGATATTGAACTCATACTGGCTACAATATAATACAGAACAATATTTTAAAAAGTAATACTTTATAAAATAAACGATACTATACTATTATAACATGAAAAAAACTGATGAAGGAATAATACCATGACACTATAGCATGACAACATAATAGTAAGATTATGTGATGAGTTACAAGAATATACTTAATTGCAGGGTCAGCTTTGGAAAGAGCAAAGAAGGTTTACCATTAGAACTCTGAGGTAAAGGGCATGTATACAATATTACCATTAGAACTCTGAGGTAAAGGGTAAGAATACAATATTACCATTATAACTCCCAGGTAAAGGGTATGTATACAATATTACCATTAGAACTCTGAGGTAAAGGGCATGTATACAATATTACCATTATAACTCCCAGGTAAAGGGCATGTATACAATATTACCATTATAACTCCCAGGTAAAGGGTATGTATACAATATCTAAATACTAAAGATACTAAACTTGAATTTAAGAATAAATTTAATTTGTCTGAATTATTAAATTGATATAAAGCTATGATATTATCAAAAGATAATTCATCAGTTTAAAGCGAGTGTTCGCTAAAACATGAAAGGGGTATAGAATTAATACAAATGAAATTGGAAACAAATTATTCAAACATCAGATGAAAAAAGCTGTATACCATTCTATTCCAAAGTCAACTAATGTGTAGCCTATCCCCCTTTTATTTTCCGCGTAAACTCCCTTTAAGGCTGGAATTATGTCCGAGAGGACTTAGCTAAGTGACTTTTATTGAGAAGGAAGAGTCGCAATGCAGTCAATCTATACTTTGCATCAATATTTAATAGTAAATTATTTATAGATACATTTTATTGGAACACAGGCTTTTTACAACAAAAATATGATACTCGACTTTTAAGCCACATGTGCCTCTTTTTTAGTAACAATTGTAACTTTTAGCTGATACTTTTAATGTTTTCATTTTTCTGTTAAATTGATTGATTATAAAATGGAAACCCTTTTTAAACCCTGCTATTCGAAAATGAGCAATGTAATCGGAGTTGAAACGATACAGAATGCATGGCTCCAGGGTTGAAATATGACATATTTATTTTGAAGCAGTTTACATATATATATATAGTCCCTGGGGTCATATGAGTTGCCTCAACAAATTTGGGTCCGAACGGATAATATGCCGTTTTGACCAAAGAGAATAGAATATACATATATAGAGTGTAATTTACTAGAAAAAAGTGTAAAACGGCCATTTTGTTGTACTGTTTCCATACATCAGGTGTACTTGACATATTTGTGCTGTATAACCTTTTGGGCCCTGGAACATCATTTTATAGAAAATCTAAAATTAATATTAAAAGAAAACCAAATTATGAAATAGGCTGGTTTAATTATTGACAAATGATCATTTCACATAGACTCTATGCCTTTCACTTTACAAACGATGATTTTCCGTTATAACTATAAATCAAATGATGTTTTTTATTCACCTAATTCATTTTATAAAGTTTATTTAACAGCTTTAAAAAATTCGAAATTGAAATGTATAGTCTAGGGAACATACTGTATTAATGTACTCTACTGCATATTAAATTATGAAATAGGCTGGTTTCATAATTGACCAATGTTCATTTCACATAGACTCTATGCCTTTCACTTTACAAACGATGATTTTCCGTTATAACTATAAATCAAATGATGTTTTTTATTCACCTAATTCATTTTATAAAGTTTATTTAACAGCTTTAAAAAATTCGAAATTGAAATGTATAGTCTAGGGAACATACTGTATTAATGTACTCTACTGCATATAATTTGCAAACATTTACATGATTTGTACACTTTGAACTCCCTTTCGGTCTGAAAGGGACTGACAAAATTCATACCGAAGAATTGTCTTAATTCCACTCTAATATATATTCTATTCTCTTTGGTTTTGACGTTTATTGGATACAAAGGTGCGGAAAAACAAAAAATACAAACAAAATATGTATTTATAAAGATGAAGAAGAAACTTTTAGCTATAAAAGATTGAATGAATTAATTTGAGATTTGTCTGTCTAGATATTTCCGGTTCGGAAAGCGGGGTATGTATGAAATTGTACTAGACGAATTTATAGTAATATTTGACCTGTCTAGAGATTTCGGGTTCGGAAAGCGGAGCATGGATGAACTTGTCAAAGACGAATTTAAAAAGTTTACTCAGCACATAGACAAACTGCTAGCTACAGGCAAACCAAAAAAGTACATCGAATGATTAAAAAATATATTTAAAATTTTTTATATCGAAAGGTTGGTGCCATAACTTCTTGCCAATTTTTCGTTGAGAATATTAATTTATAAAACATTGTTTCCCTACCCTAGCGACCAAAAAAAATCTCCGTATAGCCCCTCCCCCCCCCCCCCCACCTCTGTATACGCCTCTGAATGATAATGTGTGGCATGAAGTGAATATAAATAATTTGTTTAATGAATGCTTATGTCAGAGAAACTGATTTCTCTGCTCATATTTTTAATTTTCTAATTCGCCCTTATATCTTTGCAACGGTGTTATGTACTTTCCTAAAAGCTTTTTCCCAACGTCAACTTCTCAATTGACAACCTCCTAAAGGTACAATTTCCCAAGCTGCAACTTCCCAAATGTAGATTATAGGTTAGGTTAGGCCAAGCGCCGGCAGCAATTGGGGCCGAGTGCTGTGACTAGAACAGACTTTGGAAGTTGCCGCTTTGGAAAACCCCTTGGAAAGTTTGTCTTGGTTGATCTGCGCTAACGAAGTTAAATCACTTGGACTGGGGTCCAAAAGTAGTAATTGAACTACGTCTGTGCGGTTCAACTTCATCTTGTTATTCATAAATCTGGTTATTTGGTATTTCATACAATGAATGCTCCCAGATCAAAAAATCAAATTTTGTAATATCAAACTTTTACAGCATTAGTTTACGAAGATAGGAACTAAAAATTAGAGAGGTAATATCCTAATCTCAAAATTATACTGCCTGTCCATGTATTTTAAAGTGAATATTTCCCAGTAATATTAGAGCAGTATCCTGTATCCTGTATCCTGAAGGTATGTGTCCTTTATCCAGGGATAGGCATCGTGTTCAAAACGAGAGAAAAAAAACGATCTGTTCCGTTTTGTTTTTATACCGTGTCGTGGGAAAAAATCCAATCAACTATTTTGAACTATTGTAAAACGGAAAACAAAACGACTACATGTTAGTTTTAATGATTGAACGACCGTTTTAGTTTTTTTCAGCCAATTCAATTTTGCTTTTTAAAAAAGGTGTGAAGCGATTTAGTTTAGTTATAATTACTAAAAAAAACGATCGTTTCGCGTTTTTTTCTATTTTGTTAACTAAACCATTAGTTTGTTTTCCAAAAAGTAAAAAACGTCCCATCCCTACCTTTATCCTGAAGGTATATATCCCGTCCTGGAACCATGTCAGCCAGCAAATTGAATTTTTTTCTCAAATGATACATGGGTAGATTTTCATGGTTTGCTGGGCCCGTGTAATATCATTTATTACGTTGGAAAGAACTGTAATATAATTTGTTCATATTCTGTTTTCAATTAATTATATTCATATACACAGCTTTGAAACGAAAAAAAACTTACACGTTTACCCAACAAACAATAAGATTTTAAACATGTAAGCGTAATTTCAAGTTACTCCCAATTTGTAGAGTGACATAACTGATTCACACCAACAACCTATAAACTTTTGACTGATCAAAGACGCTAGACTTTTTCTAATTTATCTAAAATACGCTTGCATTTTTTTAACACTTTGTTTGCAATTTGTTTTTTATTTATGTAATATTAAATAGAAATATTTGTTATTTTCGTCAGATGGAGATCTTTCTCATAGATTAACAATCAAAGGTTAAAATTGCATCTTTGCCTTGAGGGTAACTTGAAATTACGCTCACATTCTTTTTCATGACGATCTATATAATTCATAAAATAAATCTAAAAATTGAATTTTTTCTATTCCTTAAACAATGATCATAAAAGCCTGAAAGGGATCTAATAAACGATTTGAAAAGAAAGTATTGAGTTTAAACCAAGAATGTCTTCACTAAATCTTTAATCTTTTGTGGGAACCCCTGTATATTCTATTTATTTTTGTAAAAAAATCTAAACAAACTTTTAGATTAGAATTAGAATGCATAATTGATTTATTAATTAATTAATCAAATATATAATATATGTTTTTGGTTTGGATTCAGATGGGTGTATAATAGATC